GTGTGTGTGTGTGTGTGTGTGTGTGTGGGGGGGGGGGGGTTACCTTGGTTGGTTATTGGCTAATGGTTACACGAGCCAAAAAAAACTTATGACATCATAAAGTGGCCAAAATCTGATCAACTCATTTTAGGACAGGTCAATAAGAGAGCGAATCTTTTTTCCTGAAACTTTCAGAATCTCTTAACGCAGAGGGGACACATATTTATGTATAAAAGACATAGAAAAGTAGATTTAGCATAATAGGTGATCTTTAAAACTATAGCTTTGATAACATATTAATGCATCAATAATTATATTTTAACTGCAGGACTTTTGCTTGTTTTGGAGTATTTGGTATTGCCACCTTTAGTCCTTTAATCATAATCTTCAAAAGTACAAAATAAGAGTCAAAATATGCTTTAATTGAATAACCATATATTATATTATTGGATTATTATAGGTGATGTATTAATATGCTCATCAATGTAATGGTACAATTGTTACATTTGAAGCTAAGTTTGTAATATAACTCTATATGCTGAATGGCAGAACCTATAATACTAATCTTTTATTGGTTGATTTTGACACATATGAAACATATGCTTTGATTATTCTATTATATCATTACTTGCAATTCTATGTATGTATGTATACATGAAAAGCTAGAAGGACTTGAAATATAAAGTATTTAAAGAGAACCTAAAATTAAATAAATAATAAACTCCATCAAAGATGTAAATGTTCATCCAGGAACAGTGATGGAAGAAATCAAATCAGTTTGATTTAAATTGCCCAAAAATACAAATCACAAATCCTCAGATTACTAAAGTAAAAGTAAAACAACAACAAAACTGAAACTCCATTATAAGTCAAAGATCTGCATCAAAAATAAACACGATTGATTAGATTTTTGTGGGAAAGGTTCAGTCTGAAGTTTTTAGAAAAGAATGATGTTTGACTATAAACACAACTTTTTGTTGAAAAATCAAACAATTAGTTGATAAATAGCATTTAAAACAATCCAAAGACAAAACATAGGCCAGATGTAATGGAGAATAAATTAAATCATTTTTATTATATCCTAAAATTACAACTTACAAATCTGCTTTTGAAAGAAATAAAAAAGTATTTAATTCATAAACATTGTAAAACCCCTTCAAATAAAGTCACAACATATATAAATGTCCCAAAGACAATATATTCTGTTTTCATTTTCAAGGTAAATTGCAAGAATCTTAGCCACATGGTCAAAATGTTCTGCATTGATAGGCACAGTTTCAATACTCCTCCTTTTCATAGTATTAGTTTTCTCAGAATTGGACCCTTTTAATGATAATAATACATTTTATATAGAGGTGCCTACAAAGCACTCAAGGACACCTTCCAAAATATTCTAATATCTTCTTCTAAATGCATTCATCCCAAAATGTCCTATCTGCATACATTTGCAACATAATGTAATAACTTGGCCCTGCAGCAGACTAAATGGCAGCATTAAATAAACCACAATGAGCCTTTCAGGTAAGCTGTATAACCTTTGTGTTTTGAAGTGGTAAACAATGTAATGCAATTTTAAAACACTCGTACTTTACTTACATATTTAAATGTTATGCTTCTTCTTCTGCCCTTATGATACATGTAGTATCACAGCTATGCTGCAAGCTAAACCCGTTAAAGGTTGAAGCCAGCATTTGGCAGCATCTTATGAAACTATTTGATAAAACACAAGAAATGTACTGATAGGTATAACAAAATCAGAAAAGGTGATGTAAAATAAATACAATTGTTAGTCCAAAATAGCCAGTGCTGATACAGTAACAAGGTCCTTGAATACTTAAGAGTATAACTTAAAAATAACTGTTAATGATAAGTTAACTTTACATTTTGATCAAGTAACATTATACAGAATAGTAATTCAAAAGAGTAAAATAGCTACATAACATAATCATGACCAACGGGAACAGTTAGTAGAATGATGTTGCTAATTCTAACATATGGGGGAACAGATCTAAGTCCTGTGTTACTCAGCTTAACACTCTCTCATCAGGATCCATTCAGAACACTTTTCTAAGTATTTTCTCTTCTCAGCACGGCCTGTTTACCTGTTTAATATGGATCAATATGTTGGAATCACCCACCTACAGCTTACATCTTATTGATGTTACATTCCCTGAAACCTACATTATCCAATTTGCAGGCAAGACAGTTGTTCAACATTGTTATCCCCACTTTGGCTTAAGTGATTTAAATGCCAATATAAGTCCAGACAAATTCAAACAGAAGAGCAACAGAACAACTTTCAGAGGACTTTGATTTAAAATACATATATATATTTGGCACATGTGTTATAACTTTAAATCACTAGGAAGACAGTTGTATAGTGTTTCTTATTTATCATATTAGGTACAGTAACAAATGGTAGTTTAACACTCTGAAATGGGTCATTCTGACTGAGAAGTATTTATATGTTTGATGCATTTAGTACTATATGTTTATACACATATTTGAATGCACAACTTTTATTTAAGTATTTTAAAGACCACTGTAGTTTTTCTTACTGGTTCACTATTTCAGGCCTGTGTGGTCAGATAACCCAGTGCGGTTAAGACCAACAGCAAGTTTATAAATGATAGGATAACCAGGGGGATAGGCTTAAGAGCTCAGGAGACAGGGGTAATATAGGGTGCAGGTTACTATAGCTGTGGCGGTTTGGATGGAAACTCTCTCTGCTCAGCCCTATGCAGATACCATACGTCTAATTATCATCAGCATGTGGGATGGGAGGTTCCTCTTTCACTGACACACGCAGCCAGCTGTCATATTTTGATAAGGTGTCTGAAGATGTGTGTTTCCTGTCTGACTGCAGGCTTGCATAGCATGATCAGTCATCATTACACTGTTCTTTAGGATTATTTATGGATTCTCCCTTGATATATGTTACATAAAAAGTGTTAAAAACACTTTATACTTTACTAGGGCTCTAAAGAGTCAAAGTGAAAAATGCTAATCACAAATTCCCAGAGTCCATGGTGACATCTTCACTCTTGTTTTGTTCAACCAACAAGTAAACCCTTATTATTATTATTATCAATTTACAGTTATATGAACAGCGTGTTTATACCCGCTATTACTAAAAGAGGACTTAAATTAGTACATTATTATCAAAGTAGCAGCATATCTACGATTCTATTTAGCTCTATAGGTTTTTATAGGTTTAATTTTTGGGCATGTTGTCCCACAAACCAAATTGATGGTGTTACATATTTCTTTAAAGGTCCCCTATTATACTGTTTTTCATCAATATATTATAGGTCTCAGATATATACAAAACATGTCTCTGAAGTGTTTGCCTCGAAATACCAAACAGATCATGCATTGTAGCATCCCATAATCCCCTCTGTTTCAGCCCTGTTTCAAAAGTGCTGATTCTCTGTCTGTTACTTTCTATGAAAATAAGGAGCCCCTCCCCACGCCCCTCTGAGAGATATTTGGTTAAAAAGAACAAAATGGTGCTATAGGAGGAGATTCAGGT